TATATACAACATGCTAAAAATAGGCTAAACTTGAATTTTGTATTGAATTCCTTAAGTACGAATACGTTTTCTGCACTGCTGGAAGATCAGACGCTCGGTGATACCATGATTGCGAGCTTCTTCGCAGCGCTATGTATCCACATGCTGTCTAAGACACCCACGCTGCGCCAGCAAACCTGAAGAAGACGTATATCCAACATATTAGAAGTGTCCCTTTTACAGGGCTCGAACATGCCATGTACGAAGTGCAATGGCTATGTGTACAGTCATCAATGCTTGCAGCACATTTATTCTGAATCAGGTTAGGTATTCATCGACAAGTCCACTCTTACTCGCTATCGTCCTCTCCAGCACATCCCTCCTCACCACTTCTCTCTTCAGCGCCCCCCTCCACAGTACCGCTGCCAGCGCCTCCCTCCTCCGCGCCGCCGCCTTCTTCCCTATCACTAGCGGCGCGTCGGCGCTTCTTTGCCGGGCTGCGCATCTGGATTCCACGACCAACACGAGGGTGAAACCGCTCCTCTCCGTTCTTCCACACATGACATGCCAGATTTGGTGGTATGTCATGGTGCTGCTTGGGTAGTGGCCCGGCCGGACTCAGTCACAGAGGTAGACACTGTGCATGAAGAAGCACAAATAGTCAAAGTACGATTGCATAAGCCACTGTCACACTTACTACTTGTTGCCGTCGCTGCATGCCTCGCAATAGAACCGCGTTGTACTGCGCTGGCCGACCTTCTGCTTGCGAATCGAGCAGACCTTGCACTGATACTGTGGCCTCTTCCGAACACCTTCCCGGATCTGGGTCCACTCTGGAAAATCGGTCAATTTGTAGGCAGCCGATATCGAGGCCACATTTTGGTCGGAAGGTGCTGGTGAAAATGTCTGCATGATAGTAAACGAGTCATATACGATACAACATCTACCATATGATCGCCGGCAAACATGTAGTATATACCTTATCAATGAAGTCAGCCGAAGTGGCCTGCAAAAGCTGCGCATGTAACCCTGCTAAAACCTCGGCATGATCAGCACCTTCACCAACCATTTTCCAAGCCTCACGGAAAAAGATATGGGCATTCACGAGTGCCATGTCGACTAGGCCTAAGAAGACCGTCTTGTAGTACTTTCGAAAGCACACCGAGAGTTGCAGCGAATAGCGCTGTAGCCTTAGCTGGTCGTGGATATCAACCCCGCCCATCCAGCGATGATAGTCGCGCATCGCTGATGGGCAGGGTATGATTTCCTTTCTGCCGCCACGTAGATGCCGCCCTTCGATGGTACAACAGCAACAGCATAAGTTAGGAAGCCGTCATCACTAAGACACGACCCAAAAGTAACTTACCGCAGGTTTCAATAGATGTACTGCTGCCAGTCGGGAGAAGGTAGACAGGAAGGCGGTCCCACCAAAGCATTACCTGTAGAAGATCGCAGCCCTTTGCGACGGCGATCGTGCTGGTCCCGCGGGGAATATGCGTTGGACGAGTTGCTGCTTTGGTCACTAGGGCTGGCGGAAACCCTTTCTTGTTTGGCTGTATACATTCCGAGCCAGGAGCTGCAACGCTAGCTGAATCGACGTATAGAAGCGATCCGTCACCACAGCGTGGTAGCCACCTTCTTCTGGGGCAGGAAGAACTTCATGCAGATTACGGATAACCACTGCAGGGCCAGAGTTCGGGTCTGCTGAAAATCGGGTCGTTGATTGACCTCCGAGCTCGTCTGAGCTGGTTAGTTCCACAAAATACTTCCAGACTTTGATGCAGCACAATACAACATTCCAAACAATACAGAGGTAGACAAATACAACATGTGAGACTTGGCCAAAAAAAAATACTCCACGATGGAGGCCGTCGAAGTACGTGCCGTAGCCAATACGCTGTGTCAGCACAGCATGTCATAAACCGTTTTGTGCTTCATTTGTGGGGCTTGTCTTTTATAAATTTCCTGGTCACGCTGTGACGACTTCTTGGTGGAATCATGGCCTCGTCGAACGACACAACGGGAGGAACGTTGTATCCCCTTGCAAACGTCTGCTGTAGCGTGTCCACAACGGAGCGGACTTTCCAGGCGCGGTCCGTTTCAGCTCTCGGGTCCGTGTTGTCGGTAAAATGCAGGTTTTGCATGATGCGCTCAACGCGCGACTTCCCCACGAAGTCGCCAAATGTGCCTTTTCGGACAGCGCCCACCCGGGTTCCCCAGTGATCCGCAAAACGGCGCTTGTGAGGGACCAACATACTCGCGATAAGGAGCCCGATACAATGCACAATGTCCTCTGGCTTTATGTCCTTGTGTTTCTTGGTCCCCCGCAACATCACAGCTTCCCTAGTCAACTCTGCATCATCAGTCACTCGCTTCGCATGTATTCTGTCGACCCGTCTGTTGGGATGCTGATGATAGTATCGATTACTCTCAGTAGCTATCCGGCGCCAAAGCCGACGAGGCATGAAGAAGAAGAAGAGTTGTAACGGAGACTCGGCTACTTCAATCGCTGCCTCCGTTGGTTGGTTGTTGTCACCACTGTATAGACTCGGGTATGGTTCTGCTCGTTTAGGATGCGATGCGGTATTTAAACATCATACAACATATACCACATTAGTTTCATGTTGTATATACATCATCTCACAAACCTTCCCAAACTCCCAGCCGTCCACTCGCATCTTCTTCAGCGCTTCATCGTCCTGCGCGAGCGCTTGCATCTCGTCTTTTGTCAGCGTGTTTTATTAATTTTTGGTTGTGTTCCAGTCACGTCGCAGCTTGCCGATAGCTGCCTGCAGACGTCGCTTCTCCAGCTCTCTTTGGGGGTTCCTCTTGTCACGATTGAGGAGCGCTGCACCGTCCAAACTACCATCACTATCACTTGAAAAACTTCATCTGCATCTTCGCTGAGCAGGTCGTTGTCAGCATCTGATCCTCACTGGGCATCGTTCGTGTGCTTTGCAGACAAGTCCTGCTCCTCAATATACCAGTCATCCGAATCTTCGCCTTCGCCATCCAAGTCTGAGTTGAGAGCTCCATTACCATAATCTTCAACGGATGCATTAATAGCTGGAGCGGAAGACGTGAGTGGCTCAGTCGTATCCATACTCAAATCCCTGTCCCAAAGTAGTTCACATTACGCGTCAATATACATATTCTATGCGCTCACACATGCAGTATATATATCATCGCAGAGGCTACCTGGACGTTTGATGTCTGGTTGGAGGCAGTGCTGTGGCTTCGACTCGTATTGGTGGTGATCTGAAACAACATAACATCAGATACAACATGAATACAATTAGTGAATGTAGTATATTCAGCATGTCGAGAATCACGTACTTTGATGCAGACAGCATACTCTCGTCGTCTGCATCTGAATCCTCAACTTGTTCAGCAAGGTGCGGACTGGCGGTTTTCTTCTGCTTCTTCGCTGCGGGAGACTTTGACGATTCCTTCCTCCTTGCTGCTGCTAGATCTTTCAGCGCTGCTTGGCGCGCTTCAGCCCCGCTGCGTTCTTCGTCGACCACGTGCGCACGTTCTCTTGCTTTCTCGGCATCATATCGAGCAGATATAGACTCCACACGGGCTACAGCTTCCACTTCTTTGAACGCGTTCCGTTCCTTCGCCAAAGCTTCGCGCTGGGCCTTGGTCGTCTTCTTCTTTCCCTTTCCAGTTTTTTTTCTCCGCTTTGGCCTTAATTGCGAGACGCTCTGTCCGCAGCTTCTTTGCCGCTGCAATGTACGGCGCCGTCTTTCCAACAGGTGGTCGGCTCGGAAGCGCCGCAATGGATCGCCCACGAGTCATAGCCGTCGTCGTCTGCCTTACCTTCGTCGTTGGCGCGGCCACTGTAGTCGTCTGCGTTGCTCCCGCGGCCTCGTTCCCGAAGTCAGCATCCGTCTCCCTCTCTCCGTTCAGGTATGCTGTGTGTTGGGCAGTCAAGCGCACCCGATCCTCCGAGCTTTTGCCTTCCAGGCGGGTGAGGAAGGCTTCTGACTCGCGACACGTTTTGCGTCGGCCAACCATCTCTGGTCCCCGGTTCTTTTCCTCGAATGTGTGAAATCAGTGGGTTACACGAGGCGAGGGTCAACAACCTTTGTGACAAATCTGAGGAGTTTTGTGTGCGTGTTCCGTGCATTTTTCAGCCTAACCCTGTGCATTTCAGTGTCTTTAACATGTTGTATATATAACATGTGGAAAAAACAGGACATGGTGCACCTTTTGGTCACATGCCGTCAAATACAACCTATAAGTGTGGGGGGGATCAATTGATCGCTAGCGGTTTAGCTAATTCTAAAACTATTTATAGCCAAACTTGCAAAATTTAACTTTTTCTACATGGGAATACGTGGGTATTTAAAGCGTTCACAGCGGCTCGAGGTGATGACCGAGGTCTATACGATAACAAAGCCAGTAAAGGGTTAGTAGTGGCTGCATCAATACTGGTCTTACCGTTGGTTGTTGAGGACGCAAGTCCAAGACGCGATAATATTAAAGAGTGCGAGAACTCAGCACTAACAGTCTTGCTATGACAAACATCACTTTTGGCCAAATCGGGGTAAATAGATTAAGCTCGATAAGTATCGTTATAATTGGGCCAAGAAAAACAAACAACAGGGTATCGTAAATCGCTATCATACTTTTAATTTCGACTTTATTGCTTAATATAAAAGGAAATTTAAAAAAAAGCGCCGCCAGATTTTTCCTGACACTGCCTCATAATAAAGTGTTTTCCGATAGAGTGCTTTTAGATTGTGGCCAGGTTTGAGGTGCACCGTTTTCAGCCAGTTAATCGACTTTCAGCAAATAGTTTTATACGCAGATATAATATAGCTCTCGGCAGTATCCTGGGAACGCCCATCACCGATTCTTGGTGCTTTCGTAGTAATAGATGCAAGTCCTTATTCAGCGATCTCCACGATGGAAGCCTTTATCGCCCTATTACGCTTTGTCGTCAGCATCAATGCTCGTTTTTGTCATAGCGGCAACCTGTCATTTTCGAATTGAGCCCCAGGGAGAGATTCACCATGACCAAGTTGGCAAAGACGGCCGAAACGAAGGGCAAGGCGAAGTTCAGCTCGCAGCATGACGCCGTGTTTCGCTTTTCTGTGACACCAGCAAAGATTTGGTTGGAGCAGCAGACGACAAAGCAGCAATGGTAATGCTGTTTAATTTCCTTGAGGGCGACTTAGCTATGGACTCACCTACCTGGATCAATCAGGCAATGCACTGTGTCGTCTGTGAACGACTTTGCGCTCAAGGGAGCTGGTATCCCGCACGCAATCGTTATGGACTATCTCGCAGTACGTAAACCACGTTAAGTATCGGAAACGTCAGCTAACTGTGTGTGTTTTTTTTGGTAGATGAGTCTGAATCGATCAGAGTCGAGTCTGGACACCAAGTACGAGGTAGACCTCATCCCGATGAGTGAAGGGCGCATGCGTCTCGACTTCTTGCTTAAGTTCTCGATTGCTGACGTCGTGTGGAAGCCCGAGTACCAATTCGTGCTCCAACCGATCGAAGTGACTGAGACGCAGATGCTCATGGCCAAGTTGCAAGACGCTAACGATAGTTTGGACCGCCTCCACTCGATTGTTCCTGCGTGGGTCGTGGAAAGTAACAGACCTCCTGCTGTTGGGAACTCGGCATCGATGCAGATTGTTGCCTTGAAGGGGGCCACGTCGTGGTTGTATGTTTGCGGCCTGGTCAAAAAGGTGCTAGAGAATTCTGGAAGTCATGTTGAGACGGCGGTAGAGTGGAGCTCTACTGCTGTTCACAAGTCAACTGCAGTGGTGACGAAGTACTGGGCTGCTATCTGGTCGACGGCAAAGTATGCGAGCAGCACTGTCGGTCAGCTTGTGCTTGATCAGTACGCGGGAAACGCTTGAGCGTGTGACAGCAATGCCTTACTGTTTTTTTTTCTTTTCAGCTTGACAATTCAATTGAGTTTTATTAAGTATTCTCATTTAAAAAGCACATATACGAAATTATTGGATATTTCTTCGTAAAGTCCCAACCACGTCCCACATCGAGTTTGGCCAAGAAATCTATCAGCGTCATTTCCGAAAAAACCTCGTGTGAGAGAACAATGGTGTCGTCTGGTAACCTTTTCAACAACTTTGTATCGCATCCCGGTGTCCCGTTCTTATGTCGAATTGTCGGTAAGCCTAGTGGATTTGATATTGAGATATTCGACACGACGCACGAGAAAGCCTGGTAAGCTGGCAAGTACATCCATTTTTATCGAACAGGTTATTAATAAGACATATTTGAGTGAATGCAGGGCCTGTCGTGTAACGTCGGAGGTATTGGTCTTAGACAATGATACCTCAACGACACTGCCATGGGAGAAAGCAAAGGCGTTCTTAGAGGTAAGTGAGATGCAACTCGTAGCATATTACTACCGGTTGCTTAATTATAGAAAATGCAATGCTTAGGTGGGTATTATGTCCCGCGGTGCAGCTGAAGATGTGGCTCTCGACTTTGTCGAGCAGTTGGAGGAGGTGGCTGTGCTACAGCTTCGTCTTCGATTTGGAATGCAAGGATGCTTCTGGAGCCCCACCTTACGTTTTGTGCTGAAAAGGGTCAACGCGGAACGGCACGAAAAGATGGAGTTGCAAGCGAGTATTGCCAACATGGAGTCGCAGTTGAGCAAGAAGGCTGCTGCGATGCACTCCCACCCTACCTTCAAAACCGCCTCGTTGGTTTGCAGCCTATTTTTGATATCAGTCGCGGTTTTGACTACAATTGCTAGCTACATCGGGGCTGCAGGCGGCACTGCGAGAGGGATTGCATTCGCTAGCGTGACGCCGTATCGAGTTGATACCTACAGCAGCAATATTTTTTGGGAGCCAACCAGAAAGTTCGACGATAAGTTCTTGTTGGTAAAGCATTCCGGTGTCCAAGTTTGTGAATCAGGTTTTGCACAAGTGTCAATAGTGCTGCGTCACTCAAACTGTCGATCGAATATCGCGTTCAAGGTGTACAAAAGCGGTGCAGAGATCTCCAGTGTCTACGATTACACCTGCGGTTTGTTCTCGATCGGAATTTCATCAGCCTACGTCCACACGATTGCTGTCGATGCAAACGATACGATCAGCGTCAAGTATGTTGGTGGAGGGACGCTTTTCACGTGGGACAGCTTCATGGATGTGCTGCTACTCCCAACGACCACGCATTAAATCTGCCATGTGTGGTGTTTCAGAAATTGATTTGTTTTGCCCGTTTTTTTATTTTCCTTTCTTTAATTTTTTTTAAAGCTGAAGCCAGGGACGGTTTTTCATTGACAGTAAAGGGTACAGTATGTTGACCCTTAAGTAGTCGGCACCGAAAGCTAAGAGCTACACGAGGTATGGATTTGAAATGCAAAACATTCGAGCCGGAGCAAGAGAAGTGTGAAGAAAATTCATAGTTATCTTCTCAAATGTACGTGCTCGCACAGTCGAGCGTCGTGCGCTGAGAACAAGACGTCACACTTAAGTAACGGTACTGATACTGTACAGAGGAATATAAGCAGAGCCACCAAAAATGGAAATCTTTAGCTGTACCTGGAATGATTACCAAAAGCTGTAACATTGGCGTGAGCTGTCCACTTCACAACTCGATGGCTTCCAAGTTCGTCCCGATACGATTTGCCCATTATGGTCTTCTCTTGGCTGCTGTTGCTCTACTTATCACTGTATCAAGAGCTACCCCTTTAACGTCGACACACCCAAAATTTGAAACTCCACGTCGTATTACCAATACAGATCTGGTTGAGACCCAGTCTTCAAGCAACTATGACGGCGAGTTGAGAGGTATTTCCAGCATGACGAAGATTAATAATGTGGCTAAAGTAGGAACGAAGAAGCTGAAGAAAGTCGCGGAGGGTGTCAAAACCAAGTTGGCGCCTAACAAACAATCCGCGGTTGACACGCAATTCAAAGAGTTTGTAGATAAGGTGCAGGGGGATTTGTTCAACAACGCACAGTTCGCTGACTGGGTTAAGTTTGTATTCAAAGTCTACAACCACAACGATGAAGCAGCCCACGCAGCGCTGGTTACGACTATGGTCGCTCACTATGGCGATGAATATCTTGCCAGTATGCTAGCTGCCACGAAGGGTTCGAATATGATTACCACATTCAGGCTGAAAGAAGCACAGATAAACAGCTGGAAGGCCAGTGGCAAAACTCCGGTCGACGTTTACAAGATTTTACATGTTGATGCAGAAGCCAGTGATTTGTTGAAAAGCCCGACGTTGAAAACGTGGATTTCCTACGTGGTAAAGCTGAAAGAGAATCCATACGAACTGCTGCTATTAAATCTAAAAACGCACTACGACGATGCAGCACTTGCGCAAATGTTTGCTGTGGCGAAGGGAGACGCCGCTACGACAGCGCTTGCTGGAAAAATGGAGACGCTGCTGCTGAAGAAGTGGCAGGAGAAAGACAAGACTATGATCGACGTCTTTCAACTTCTAAAGCTGAACACAAAGAGCCCTAAAGAGCTGCTGGTAAGCCCCGTGCTGAGCACTTGGATGTCGTACACTTTACTGCTGAAGAAGAACCCGTACGAGCTGTTGTTTAAGGCGATAAAGAAAACGGGCATAGATGACGCAGGACTAGCAAGGATGGTTGGCACAGCGGAGCAAATTGACAGCAACACTGCCCGCAAAATACAGCACCAACAATTCAAAATATGGAAAAGGGAAGGGAAAAGTCCGACGGACGTCTTCAGATTACTTGGGCTCAAGAAGGAAGGAGACAATTTGTTTGAGAGCCCTGTGTGGAGCACTTGGACAGGATATCTGGACCGAACCGACAGGACGGCCGTATACAAGGAAACGATTTTGGTCCTGAAGACACAATTCGGGGACGAACGTTTGACGAACATAATCTCAAAGGCGAAGGACGTCGACAGTACCGCTGACACTGCAGAAAAACTGGAGCGGAGCTTTTGGTGGGCAATGGGACTAACGTCAGATGATCTATTTAATCTTCTCAAATTGAAGCATAAGGGGTTTGAGAGCCCGGACTTGCGAAGCTGGGTCGCTTATGTGAGGGAGCTGAACAGCTTTAGAAAAAGTCCGGATGAATTCATGGTTATTAAGCAGCTGGAGAATCATTACGGCGATGTTAAGCTGGCACGAATGCTAGCCAAATCGAAGCAACAGGGACGAGTGGGTGGGTTTCTCAACGAGTTACAATCGCTGCAATTCAAAGCGTTGATGGATCGAGAAGTTCATCCTACTACTCTGGCGAATAAATCGCGTCCCAAACACCCAATCGACAACACCGTGCATCTCGCTTTCAAAAGATACGCGTCCCGAGCTCCGGAACCGCCAATTTAGAGGAAGTAGTAGCTGGATCCAGCCAAAGAGAGGAGAGCTCTCGTCAATCCAATCGTGTAATGCCAATAACCCGTACGACTATGAGCTGAAGCAAGCGTGCGCACGTACAATCCAAACAGCTTAGCGGCGATTCCATGATTTTAAGCCTGGATCCCGTCCCTATCGACAGCGTAAGGGTCAATCATTCATCTAGGTTCAGCTCTATCTGAAGTCTAAATAAAAATAAAATGTACGTTAATTTATTAATTGAAGTATATTCTTTTTGATCATTTTGTCCGTCAAGAGTGGCATGTTGTTCAAATATAATAACTTAATTGCTGCCCTATTCAGTCATATTTCTCGAGAACTAAAAAGCCATTTCATCCTTCTAGTTATAATAAATCAAAACCCATTTAAACCACCCTCTAATCAGTAATTTTTACACCGAATGAAACGCGCTCCCCGCGATGCCTCAAGCGTTCCTCGCTTCCATGACGCCCTGCGCACCGGCCAAGTGGACGCCGTGCGTCGCATGATCCACCGAGACCCTTCTCTGGCAAATGTGCGGTCCAGCTCGAGCCCACATGCGACGTCCCTCATGATCTCCGCTACCAGTAGCCACCTGCCTACGAAAATTATGTTGGCGCTGGTAAAACTTCTTCTAGCCAAAGGAGCCTCGTTGCGCACAAAGGACGATCATCGCTGCAACGCTTTAATGGCCGTCTGCGTCTCTGGGGGACATCCGCGCATTATTAGCTTCCTATTAGACTGGGACAGGGTCAAGTCGGCTCATAGAGTGCTACAATGGAGTGATACGGACGACAAAGGTCGAACCGCGCTGGGACTCGCGTGCGTACACGGCCACGGACGACTGGCGTCTTATATTTTGGACCTTGCAGGGGTCCAAGAGGTCGGAAGTCCCTTGTACGCGCTCAAAATGGCGCTACAGAGCGAGGACGAGCGCTGTGTCCTGGATTTACTTGGCAGTAAAAAGCTGCGGTGGCTGGTGAAGCAGAACAAAAGACACGACAAACTGATAATGAATGGGGAGTGGAATCAGACTCAGACTCAGACAACTGAGGAAGAGTATACACTGTCTAAATGCGTAGCTAAAGCCGTCGAACTCGAGATGGTGCGCGTAGTGACGGAGCTGCATCGTCTGAATCGACGCTGTGTCGGCCATGCCACGTGGTTCGCGCTGTGCAGTAAGAGCGAGGTGCGTCCTCGAGCTAAAACCGCGCTTGTGCGGAGAGCGAATTCGGTAATACCGGTATTTAAGGAGATTGCAGACTTGCACCGTCGAGATTGCGTGTGGGAACGCATGAGAATCGTCTTTTTGATTCGATCCGCGCCTCCTGTGGAGAGGAATGGGTCGATGGAGATCAATATCGTGGCAGAGCTACCCGACGCAGTGTTTCGCATTGTCGCTGAGTTTTTGAAGCCGACATTTGACGATGCGGAAGAAGCCCAGAAAGAGCGATTCAAGACTGTGCTCGATCTGTCGTCCTGGTAATAGATTTTACACAATAGAGTAATGAAAACGTCCATAAAATATTACGAATGTCACTTTCTAGAATTGCTGCGTTCTGGTTCACTGGCGATAGCGTAGCTCGGCCTTCTACTCCGTCACTAAAGGCTTTATCGCGTAGGAGTTCTGCAGTTTGAACGACTGTACCGAGTCGAAATGCAAATACCAGTCGATTCGTGGCTCGTTTCAAGACGCAAACAAACCAAAATAATTGCGCAAGAAGTACTTGGCACTCCGATAGTGCAAGGGTTGCTAGCTTAGCTGTGTACTTCTGCGCTAATTCTCCTCCAAGCCATCTCCTAATTAAAATGTTGGCGCATGTTAGTTAAGAAATAAACAGTAGTTACATACACTGCGTTCCAGCGAGAGCCTTGGTTGGTATTTTTCAGTTTTCAGTGAATTGAGCATCGTAACGGTTTTTTTTTCACGTTTAGTATCGGATATTGCTGGTCACTACTGTACCTATTAAATGACGATACATGAAACAGTTGGTCACCAGTACCAAATTTGGATTAATTATTTTTATCAGGGGTTGCATCTGAAGTGTAGGACGACTTTTTCAAGACATACAGCACGATATACAGAGCGCTCACCTTTGCTCAATGAGCGACCCACACCAAAATGTAGACCGCCGTATTGGCGCCGCCAATTTGGCGGTACAGGTGGCCCCAGCCAGACCACACGGCTAACACAAACGATTGCAACGCGATTTAGTAGCAGCAAGACAGCTACGAACAGCCCGTTCTCAACGTGAGTTCGACAGCACGTCCGAATACTACGGCGACCACATTTGGATGAAGGACTTGGACATTAGTGGCCGCGTGGGTGCGACAGACGTGGATCCGACCGCCTCAACCACGTTAAATCCTGTAGATGGCCTTGAGTAATATAGTTTACAAACACTCGAATAATACATATGCATTACGACAGTATAGTTGATGTCCGGGTCGTTGTGAAAGCCCGGGTCACCGCCAACTGTTTCACATGCATGGTAGGCTTTGAAACGTGGACTGGCAGCTTGGGTTTCATCGGGCCTTGACCAAAATACTTCGGAATTAGCCCCAGGGTTCCTCAACAGCAAGAGGGCGTATGGACATTCTTCGAGCAAAGGCCCAGAAAACGTCTTGAGCTCGATGCCGCTACTACAAGCACACGGTTTTCGCATCCACGAAGAACATGAAGGCACCAAAGCAATTGCTATGCTATGTCTTCTCCGATCGGTGGTTGAAAATGAATAATGTGATTACAGTTTAAAAAAAATCGACATGTCTTGGAAGATGCACTTGATCCGTATGCCCTAGGAACACTTTCACCAGTCCACTGAAAGGTAAAAGAAAGTATGATTAGATCGTTAGCTTCACTACTCCTCAGCTCAACGTTCTTCTGCGACCATGCAGTCGCTTCTCATGCATTGGCCTGGCATCATTTGTCTTCACTATACTGCACAGCACCTTTGTGCTCAACTCAGTTGTGCCAGGTCCCGTAGTTCGACCATCCGTCTTGTACTTCACGTTGACTCTGGTCCTAGATATGAATCTGGATTCCAACACGCCTCCTTCGAAGCTCCAGCTTTGACTACTTTGCATCTCCGATGCCAACACTAGCAATCAGATTCTTGAGACGCAATTTGTCCAGTGCTTTTGTAAAAGCATCAGCAGGATTCTCATCCCCTTTGATCTTATGTAGATTGAGCACTCCACGTTCCACTTGTTCACGCACGTAATGCCAACGCAACTCGATGTGTCGAGTGCGGCGACTGTAGGTAGGATTTGTAGCTGGAACATGTGCAGCTTGGTTGTCAATACCAATGCGTAATTCCACAGTGTGGTGCGGGAGAATTTCCTGTAAGATGTTACTCTCTGCGATTGCCTCCATAGCAGCCTCACATGCAGCCACATACTCAGCTTCAGCAGTGGACAAGGCTACAATGGACTGTCGTCTCGACATCCATGAAATGGCACCACCAGCTAGTGTAAAAACGAATTCTGTCGTGCTCTTCCGAGTTTCTGGGTCATTGGCCCAGTCACTGTCACAATGTCCTTCGAGTACTATAGCCTTCGACTTTATCTCTTGTCGATTGTAAGTTATTCCATAGTTCACAGGACCCGCAAGATAGCGTAGGACACGTTTCAATGCACCAACGTGCTTACTTGATGGGTTTACCACAAATCTACTCAACTGACTCAGTGCAAATGCCAGGTCAGGACGTGTACTTGTCGCCAAATACATCAGCATACCCACAGCTTCACGGCACGGGAAACTAGTGTCGCTTGTCTCGCCTTCTTCCAGCGGGACAAATCTGGCCTTCACTTCCATGGGATTTCCCACAGCATGAGCTTCACCAAAGCCAAACTTCTCCAAAATTTCGTGCGTATACTTTGTTTGAGTGATTGTAATCTGCTCTTATGTCTGGTTAACTTCAACCTCAAGATATGCAGTCAATAGTCCTTGGTCCTTGAGTCCATACTCTTGGTCCAAATCTTCAAACAAAATATTCTTGCTCTTCTCATCCTTGGTCGCTACCACGATATCATCCACATACACAAGGACAAGTATAATATCTTCTCCATCAATACGATAGTACAGACATGGCTCGGTCAACGATCTCTGGTAGCCACGAGTAAGAAGCCACTGGTTAATTTCAGAGTTCCACTCGCGCCCAGATTGCCTCAATCCATACAACGCTTTGGTCACCACATACATGTGGCCATTCACTTCACACGGAAATCCGTCAATCGACTTCACGTATTGCAGAAATTCCGAGTAACGCATTTAGATATGCCGTATCAACATCTCCTCCATAGAGCTTCAGGTTTCAGTGCCGCAGCTAATGCCACTAGAAGCCTGAAAGAAGACATTCGTGCCACCGGCGAGAACGTGTCAATGAAATCCACTCCTGGTCTCTGTTTTTGCCAAGAGCAACTAGTCGAGCTTTGAAGCGAATCATAAACCCCTGAAAATCCGACTTCACACTATAGACCCAGCGTGTCTTGATAGGCTTAGCATCCTTCGGAACATCCTCAAACGCAATCTCTTCCAGAACTCTACGTCGTTTCATTGCCGACATCTCTGCCAGTTCGGCTTCGCGCCAATAGTTACTGTATTTGCTTCGCATAGCTTCGCGGTGGTTGCGTGGAATCCGAACATCACTTGCTCGTATAGAACGTCCATTCTTATCCACTACACGTGACGTATTCTGCACCGCGTTGACTACATAGTCATCCAAATACTTAGGCCGACGACGCTCGTGATACTCACGTAGACCAGTTCGAGTTCGTTTCGGACCTTCACGTTCCGCACATATCTCCACACGACCCATTTCTGAGTTGGTTTCGTCTCGTTGACGCTTGCATACCAATTTCTCACACGTACTGGCAATTATAACGTTGTCAGCATCCTCACTGAATTTCTCATCAACGTCAACCAGCATATCTCCGTCTTCATCGGCTACAAGATTCGCTTCATTCACAACCGATTCAGAAAGGTTTTCATCTGTATGCAGCTCTTCAGTGTCCACTTCAGATGAACTCCCATCAGCATTAACGTCCAATGAACCACACCCACTGACAGCAGACTCATTATCACTTGTCATGTCAGGTTTCGTGTATCCATACAACTGTCGTAAGTTTCGACGCTGATCCTTTCAGAATTCACACCGTCACTCTGTACAAGATCATCACTCTGGTTGTGGTATTGTTCACTCTGCAGTGCAGTCAGAGCACTAGGTAAACCTGCCGTTACCCCTTCAACATCCGGAACACACGGAGGTTCAGTCACTGTGTCTCCGATTCCTTCCAGTCCTGTCCAGTTTGCAGATGCTCCTGACGGTAATGACGCTCGTTGCGCCTCCCTAAGCTCCGTCATCACCTCATTTCGCTCTTCAACTCGTTGCGCAGTATCGTCCTCGCCTCCCTCGAGGTCTCTGGTCGCTTCGAGCGTGACCTCGCTCATCGTCGGAGCAGCGTTCGAGTTACAGACTTCACTCAGATCCATAGTAGATTCGAGTGTTGCGTTTTCAGTACTCGACTCCGTGTTACTGCGCTTCGTAAAGTGCAACGACTCCAAGTCGTCGTTCTCCAAATCTGCTCCATGACGATCTCGGTACATCACATCTTCACTAATGCGAAGATCGGATACGAATTTAGCTGTACGATCATCAGGAAAGTAGACCTT